CCAGCTTCCCCTGAAGATTTAAAAAAAAGGATCATGAAACCTCCCACTTCATCGACTTCATCCACAAACAGGCGGCTGACTGCAGAGCGGTTCAAATGATGGTTTTTACCTTGATGACCAACATGTCGATCACTCGGGGATCCGTGACGTGCTTGTTTTTATCGAACATCTCCCTCACTTTGTCTCGCCCCTGACGCGACGTGATGTCCAGCTGAAACAGCGCCACTGTGGAGAAACAATCCAATCCAACTTTATTTGTTAAGCACGGCTGACCAAAGAGCTCATGAGATAAAAGAAAACTCCATGTGAGATACAGAATCAAGTTAAAGACATAAACATCAGTCAAATGAGTCGACGTCTTAGTGTGTCTCAAACACACAAATAACAGTTTCCAACCAATCAGCTTCACTGACAAACTTTTTTAAAAACATTACATCCCAACCGAGTTACGGTTCAGTAAACATCCTGTGAGTACCGTCCTGCTTCAATGCTCCTATATGGTGTCTGGGTCAAGATCAGGCTTTACTGGACCAAAGTCAGGCCTCTAGTGGTTAAAATGGGTACTGCAGTTTAAATTCTAAACATCATAGAGAGCTGCCCCCCCCCCAACACTGATCCTCCATCTTACTGACTGATCCTTTATCCATAAGCCGAACATGTGTGTGTGTGTGTGTGTGTGTGTGTGTGTGTGTGTGTGTGTGTGTGTGTGTGTGTGTGTGTGTGTGTGTGTGTGTGGTGTGTGTGTGTGTGTGTGTGTGTGTGTGTGTGTGTGGTTGTCATAGTTACAACAGATATAAAAAGTTATAAAAAGTTATAAAAAGCAGGATCATTTCACATCACTGGTTAGAACGATTCATTTTCTTTGCGACATTTTCCGTCATTAACGTCTGTTGTAACTACGACAACCACACAGACTCATCCGGCTACAAGTCACCAATCAACACGGTCACCATTTAAACCGTAACACCTGACATTCCGTTGTTTACCCAGGTAACAGTTATGAATATAGTTCAGCTGTGACTGTTATCATACCGACCTGTAACGTTCAGGTGTCGTGAGCGTGGTGAAGTTTAAATGAATATAATTTAATAATAAACAGTTTGGTGTTTAATGTTAATTGATTAATAAACAGTTTGGTGTTTAATGTTAATTGATTAATAAACAGTTTGGTGTTTAATGTTAATTGATTAATAAACAGTTTGGTGTTTAATGTTAATTGATTAATAAACAGTTTGGTGTTGAATGTTAATTGATTAATAAACAGTTTGGTGTTTAATGTTAATTGATTAATAAACAGTTTCCTGTTTAATGTTAATTGATTAATAAACAGTTTGGTGTTTAATGTTAATTGATTAATAAACAGTTTCCTGTTTAATGTTAATTGATTAATAAACAGTTTCCTGTTTAATGTTAATTGATTAATAAACAGTTTCCTGTTGAATGTTAATTGATTAATAAACAGTTTGGTGTTTAATGTTAATTGATTAATAAACAGTTTCCTGTTTAATGTTAATTGATTAATAAACAGTTTGGTGTTTAATGTTAATTGATTAATAAACAGTTTCCTGTTGAATGTTAATTGATTAATAAACAGTTTCCTGTTTAATGTTAATTGATTAATAAACAGTTTCCTGTTGAATGTTAATTGATTAATAAACAGTTTCCTGTTTAATGTTAATTGATTAATAAACAGTTTCCTGTTTAATGTTAATTGATTAATAAACAGTTTGGTGTTTAATGTTAATTGATTAATAAACAGTTTCCTGTTGAATGTTAATTGATTAATAAACAGTTTCCTGTTGAATGTTAATTGATTAATAAACAGTTTGGTGTTTAATGTTAATTGATTAATAAACAGTTTGGTGTTTAATGTTAATTGATTAATAAACAGTTTGGTGTTTAATGTTAATTGATTAATAAACAGTTTCCTGTTGAATGTTGTTCACATAGACACGACCTTGACGCTCGCGCTGCCTCTCCCAGCTGTTACCTGACGGGACCGACTCACCTGTGTTCGGGACCTCTCGGTACCAGGCTCGGTACAGCTCCCGGACCCTGCGCTTCGCTTCGTCCAGGTCCCGACTGAAAATCGGTTTTACTACTCTAGCTGCTCCCGCTGCGGCTCGAGTCGTCGCTGTCGACGCCATGACTGCTGTCCGTCAGTCTGTGTGCACTTCCGGTTTCCAGTTTATGACGTCAGCGAGCTGTTGCTTTCTGTGCTGCCGCCTAGCGGTGTGGAGGGACACATTCACAAACCACAAACAGCCAGTCAGAAAAGTTCTTAAAGGTGACATATCGGTCTTTTCATGATTCATATTCATGTTTTGAGACATTCAGCACAAAAGTATAATAACACATTTATACTGTGTTACACTTCAGAGATAGAGAGGCAACAGCAGCACTCCTGGTGTCCCTAAAATCACCAGCGCTCATGGAAGGGAATGTTTAAAAAAGGAAAACTTAAGACCAAAATCCGTTGGTATAGATGATCCGGATGCAGGCACATATGGAGAGATCGTCTTCACCTTCTTCAGGGTGAAGTGACACAAAGAGAGTAATCATTGCTGCCTCCAGTCCATACACGTTGGTGTATTTTAAATCTTTCCAGCCCGATGAGTTAAAGACTTTTTATATTTTTAAAACCATCCTGAGACCCTGGATCCAGATCATTTATACCAACGACTTTTGGTCTTACGTTTTCTTCCACTTTGAGATGTTTTCACGTCGTGTCCAATCAACGTACGGAGCCCCTCAAGTCCAAAAAGATTAATTTCTTCTTTTTCTTTTCTTCTTGTAAATGAACTTGACAGCAATATTTGATGTTCATCCTGTGAGCTCAAGATCAGTAACTTATGGACACAATATAAACACCTGGTGCACAAGATGATTATATTTTGGGCACAAGATATTAACAGGTTTCTTCAAGATAATAACTCGTTGTCACACGGTTATAATTTGACCACACAAGATAATCAAGTCTTTGTGCACACGATAACGTGTGACTAACTGCAGTCGCTCCGTTATATTGAACAGAATATTTTATTATAATTAGAAATAAATCAAATACAACACTTCTCAGTGAACTTTAATATCTGATAAGTGAAATAAAATAATCTCAAACTACTTAAATCTCTTAGATCTCTGAAGGATTGTTTGTGAAATAAATCAAAGCCAGCGTGCAGAATCATTCAAAACAAGTTCACACAGCGGACGAGTTTTTGCAGAACTTCTTTTATTGTATAATTTACAAAGTAAATACAGGCTCTACATTAAATATGAAAGTATTTTCAAAAGGCAGGTAGATACGTCATTTTTAATCACAATTCATAACGTCGATACAAAATTTGGCTCATTGATGCAACACCTGTCGTGTTTCTGTGGCGGGAAAGAAACACCTTGAATGTTCGGGGGAGACGGGGAGAGTTCTTAGTTTGATGTCCGTGATGACGGACGACTCTGCAGAGAACGTTTTCTTAATGGTCACAGATCGACTTTAATTCAGACCGCCGGCGTTTGAAACGTGTTTTATTCCCAATCGACGGTCTGTAACACCGAGCTGTGTGAGCACGCTTTCCACGTTTGAAAAGAATAATTACAGCAAACGATAACGCCAAGAAAGAGTAAACATGACTCAAACATCGTTTAAAAAAAGAACGACAGTCGCTCTGTGGATCTCCGACGTCTCAGGCACGAAACGCAGAAACAGAAATCTGATTAAAAAAAACTGATAACGAAATGAACGCTTTATTTACAACACCTGATAAAAAAAAAAGACAAATATTCCAGTTTTCAGACCGAATGCACTCGCACAGAGCTCGACTAAAAAATAAAAAAGTGCAGATTCATATACAACATGTGAGGATCGCTTTAAAGAAACCAGCTGATGGTGGTCTACTCCACGCCGCTGATGGTGGTCTACTCCACGCCGCTGATGGTGGTCTACTCCACGCCGCTGATGGTGGTCTACTCCACGCCGCTGATGGTGGTCTACTCCACGCCGCTCACGGGCAGAAAGACGAAAACTAAGGCACGACGATGACACACACGCACGCACGCACGCACACACACACACACACACATTCAGTCACCACGCTGCACACGCCTGCAGGAAAAAAAGAGATGAAGGATATGAAAACAGGAAAAACATCTTCCAGAGAGAAATGTCTGACAGCGTGTCCTAACAGCGTGTCCTAACAGCGTGTCCTAACAGCGTGTCCTAACAGCGTGTCCTAACAGCGTGTCCAAACAGCGTGTCCTAACAGCGTGTCCTAACAGCGTGTCCTAACAGCGTGTCCTAACAGCGTGTCCTAACAGCGTGTCCTAACAGCGTGTCCAAACAGCGTGTCCTAACAGCGTGTCCAAACAGCGTGTCCTAACAGCGTGTCCTAACAGCGTGTCCTAACAGCGTGTCCAAACAGCGTGTCCTAACAGCGTGTCCTAACAGCGTGTCCTAACAGCGTGTCCTAACAGCGTGTCCTAACATCGCTTTGCATCGCCAACACGTGCACTCTGCATCTGTTAAATATTTACTTCTCTGCTCTGTGAGTTCCCACATTATAACATGTGGTGCTTTTATTTTGAAGGTGTATAAACTGAAGTATGGTGCTTTTATTTTGAAGGTGTATAAACTGAAGTATGGTGCTTTTACTTTGAAGGTGGACAAACTGAAGTGAGGTGCTTTTATTTTGAAGGTGGACAAACTGAAGTGTGGTGCTTTTATTTTGAAGGTGGACAAACTGAAGTGTGGTGCTTTTATTTTGAAGGTGGACAAACTGAAGTGTGGTGCTTTTATTTTGAAGGTGGACAAACTGAAGTGAGGTGCTTTTATTTTGAAGGTGGACAAACTGAAGTGTGGTGCTTTTATTTTGAAGGTGGACAAACTGAAGTATGGTGCTTTTATTTTGAAGGTGGACAAACTGAAGTGTGGTGCTTTTATTTTGAAGGTGGACAAACTGAAGTGTGGTGCTTTGTGTTGACGAGCTGTCAATAAACGGATTGCGTTGGGTAGGATAAAGTTTTTCTCCGGTGTTGACACAGGTCAAAGGTCAAAGGTCAAAGGTCAACATGTCAATCATGATGTGGATATTATTAATGCTCCGTAATCTCCACTTAAAACGAGCTAACGAGCTAACGAGCTAACGAGCTAACGAGCGCTGCAGAGGGAGGAGAGAGAGGGTCAGTGTATCGTAGCTCGCCCTCCTGCCTCCCTCGTCTCCTCGAGCGACAGAGAGGGAAATAGAAATGGCGTGTCGGGGTTAAAAGCGTTGCGCTGTGTCTCTCGTGGACGGTACGGACGCTCCGACAGAATCACACCTGAGGTCGTTGATTCTGTCTGCGTGGTCGTCACCTGTCACCTGCAGCCGGGCGTCAGTGGTCCAGGCTGTTTCCCAGTTTCTGGCCCTCGTGCAGAGCGGTCAACGCCAGCCTCAAGTGCTCCTTCAGACTCTGGATCTCCCGCTCGCTGCGACCTCTGACCCCGCTCAGCTCGTCCTGCATGTCCGAGTATCGCTGACAGGCGAGCCGCTTCTCCTGCAGAGCCAAGACACGCAGACCATCAGCTCCGCCTCCACACAGCCCTACTTCCTGTTTACATCCACTCAGCCCTACTTCCTGTTTACATCCACTCAGCCCTACTTCCTGTTTACATCCACTCAGCCCTACTTCCTGTTTACATCCACTCAGCCCTACTTCCTGTTTACATCCACTCAGCTCTACTTCCTGTTTACATCCACTCAGCTCTACTTCCTGTTTACATCCACACAGCCCTACTTCCTGTTTACATCCACTCAGCCCTACTTCCTGTTTACATCCACACAGCCCTACTTCCTGTTTACATCCACTCAGCCCTACTTCCTGTTTACATCCACACAGCTCTACTTCCTGTTTACATCCACACAGCTCTACTTCCTGTTTACATCCACTCAGCTCTGTTTACATCCACTCAGCTCTACTTCCTGTTTACATCCACTCAGCTCTACTTCCTGTTTACATCCACACAGCTCTACTTCCTGTTTACATCCACTCAGCTCTGTTTACATCCACTCAGCCCTACTTCCTGTTTACATCCACACAGCCCTACTTCCTGTTTACACCACTCAGCCCTACTTCCTGTTTACATCCACTCAGCCCTACTTCCTGTTTACATCCACACAGCTCTACTTCCTGTTTACATCCACTCAGCTCTACTTCCTGTTTACATCCACACAGCTCTACTTCCTGTTTACATCCACTCAGATCTGTTTACATCCACTCAGCTCTACTTCCTGTTTACATCCACTCAGCTCTACTTCCTGTTTACATCCACTCAGCTCTACTTCCTGTTTACATCCACTCAGCCCTACTTCCTGTTTACATCCACTCAGCTCTACTTCCTGTTTACATCCACTCAGCCCTACTTCCTGTTTACATCCACACAGCTCTACTTCCTGTTTACATCCACTCAGCTCTGTTTACATCCACTCAGCTCTACTTCCTGTTTACATCCACTCAGCCCTACTTCCTGTTTACATCCACTCAGCTCTACTTCCTGTTTACATCCACACTTCCTGTTTACATCCACTCAGCTCTGTTTACATCCACTCAGCTCTACTTCCTGTTTACATCCACACAGCTCTACTTCCTGTTTACATCCACACAGCTCTACTTCCTGTTTACATCCACTCAGCCCTACTTCCTGTTTACATCCACACAGCTCTACTTCCTGTTTACATCCACACAGCTCTACTTCCTGTTTACATCCACTCAGCCCTACTTCCTGTTTACATCCACACAGCTCTACTTCCTGTTTACATCCACACAGCTCTACTTCCTGTTTACATCCACACAGCTCTACTTCCTGTTTACATCCACACAGCTCTACTTCCTGTTTACATCCACACAGCTCTACTTCCTGTTTACATCCACTCAGCTCTGTTTACATCCACTCAGCTCTACTTCCTGTTTACATCCACTCAGCACACACACACACACACACACACACACACACACACACACACAGTACCGTGTTGAGAAACTGCAGCTCGTTCCTCAGACAGCTGATCTCTTTGTGTAAGTAGTCGATCTCGTTTTCTTTCACTCTGAGAAGAACCTGAGAGGAAAACAAAGAAACATCTTAAAGCTCTAAATCACTTTCACCATCAGCTGCAGGAGCGCACACGCCGCTGACTCAGGACTAACAGCGTCTGTATTTCATGACTCTGCAGGATCATCACAATGTTCCCTTTGTGTTCTGAGCTCATGTTGGAGAATCAGAGAGAATAAACTACTTTAACACTCTTCAGATGGACCTGCTGGTTTCAGTGTTTGCAGCACAGCTGAAAACATTCTCCCACTTTCAGTTTCATGAACACAGAAACTGAAAGTGTCTGCATGGAGGACGTTACCTCCAGTTCACAGGACGCTCTGTCTTTGTTGTCCTCTGAGTTCTGATCCGTCGATCGCTGACGGCTGATTTCTTTAGCCAAACGATCCTTCAAGTCCTGCAGAGGGAAACACTTTGTCTTAACCATTCAGTCTGCAGAGAGATTCAAGACCACAGACAACAAAGAGCTGCAGCATGTTAGCTTTCTGTTTGGATCATGCAAAGAAACAGAGACAGTTTCAAGATAAATGTAAAAAACAAATCAAAGTAATCAGCGTTAAGCAGATCCCCTTCATCCAGACTGCTCAGATCACTCACCTGGTTCTCTTCCTCAGCTGCTCCATGTCCCTCTCTTTGCGGCTGATCTCCCTCTCTCTCTCTGCGTTGTTCTGCTCAGCGCGGTTCAAGTCCAAACACTTCTGAGAGTATCGCTCCGACAGTCCGGCCAGCTCTCTCTGCAAGGCCTGAGACTCTGCCCTGAAACGTGAGCAGACAGTGTTGATGTACGGGCAACAAGAACTGGACCTTTAAGGAGCTGCGGCCAGACAACCTTTCCTCACACACTGTGCACATTTCAGCCAGTAAGAAATCTGTTTTCTCTTTGTATCTCTTCACTAAGAATCGTTTTGTTTTTGTTGCATGATGTTAAAAAGTGTGTGTGTGTGTTTGTGTCTTCCTGTTCCATTTTCTTGAGGCATGTATTTCCTCCTGTGGTTAAAACAGCTCTTCTGCTGAAGACCAGTAACCACAGAAATAAGGAAGGGCACACAGAGAGCAGGCTGCAGAGAAAAGCCCTAAAGTACAGGTTTGAGTTGCAGCAACTGAAAGAGGATTACGTCACACGGACTCTGAAGTTTACAAAGGAGAACTAATCCATGACCGAATTCTTCTACATTCCTGCAGTGCCTCACAGGACCCCGCGGCTGCTGTGGAGACGCAGAGCTCCACTTAATATTCAACAACAGAGAAACCTTTAGCTCCCACTAAAGAGCAGCAGAAAGGTTTTATTTCCTAATGTCAGCCCACGCTGACAGACCAGGAATTTATGTTCAGAGAAATATCAGCTGTTCAAGTCAGGGTGCCGTTACAAAGTGAAGACTTGAATGCAGCAAACTTTGCATTATTATTATTATTATTATTATTATTATTATTATTAATAATACTTATCGTAGCAGGATAACAGCGTGTCCTAACAGCAAGCGAGCGTTAAATATCGTGTTGCATCACACTGCATCCGTTAAATATCTGTCTCTGCTCTGTGACTTTCAGTTTCCCCTTAAAACATGTTGGTGCTTTTACTTTGAAGGTGCACAAACTGAAGTGTGGTGCTTTTACTTTGAAGGTGGACAAACTGAAGTGTGGTGCTTTTACTTTGAAGGTGGACAAACTGAAGTGTGGTGCTTTTACTTTGAAGGTGGACAAACTGAAGTGTGGTGCTTTTACTTTGAAGGTGCACAAACTGAAGTGTGGTGCTTTTACTTTGAAGGTGGACAAACTGAAGTGTGGTGCTTTTATTTTGAAGGTGCACAAACTGAAGTGTGGTGCTTTGTGTTGACGAGCTGTTGACTCAACGGCTCACGGTGAGCTGAATATAGTTTTTCTCTGTTGTTGACAGGTCAAAGGTCAAAGGTCAACATTTCTGTCATGTGGATATATTTAATGCATCGTTATGTCCACTTTGTAAAACAAGAAGTATTGAACATTGAGATAAGCTTCATGTATAGAGTGAAGGCTGCGTCCTCGTGTTTCAGGGTCTTTCTGTCTCAAACTGAATTTCAGTGACTCACTTCTGTTGGACTCTCAAAGTCTGTGAATCTGGCGCCCCGCTGTTCAGCCTCTTGGACTTCTCCACCTCTCTCTCCAGCTCCTCTTTGTGTTTCTTCTTCAAAGCCTCCATCACTGAAACACAAACACACGCCAACTTATGGTCGCTGACATCACAACATCACGGACACTCCTGATTGGACGCTGAGACATAAAAGAATCAAATCCAAGCTGTTGTCACACATGCACTCCCCCCCCCCCGCTGACCTCGTGCGATGTCCTGCGTCTCCTCCAGCAGCAGCCTCTCCTTCTCCGTCTCCAGCTCTCTGATTTGACGCTCGTGTTGCCTCTGCAGCTCCTCCAGAGCGTGTCGATGTGCACGCTCCATCGCTGCCAGGCTGCGTCCACAGGCAGCCTCAGGGCCGCAGCCCCCCCTCACTCCTCCTCCCCCCTCCTCCTTGTAGTTGCTCCAGCTGCTGCCTCAGTGACGCCACCTGAGGACACAGAGACTTGGAGGTAAAGCCCACTGAGCGACAGGACGGGGACAGACACACATTGTTTATGTGATTAGCATGATTAGCTTTGTACGCAGGCTAATGTATCTACATATCTACAGGAGGATCCGGTGTAGATCTCAGACGTGCTCGGGGTCCATCACCTGCGTTTGTATGATGATGTAGCACGCTGTGATTGGCTGTACGTCAGAGAGTCTTCTCATGAAGAGGAAGAACTCAAACAAAGCGTCCAAACTGACTTTAATGCTGCACGGTTGATGAGACCACATGCCGATATTCAATGTTAGTGATGACGCCACCTGTTGGTAAGAGACAGTAAGGCTCGTGTAACACCATGTGCTCTCACTTCCTGTTGTTCCAG